ATAATATTTATATTCTTTGCATGCTTCTGATCAGAGTTGACATCATTCAAACAATCATTGTGAACAGTTAACTACCTTAGCTTCCAAATAAGTAAGTGAAAGAAAAATCCATATTAGAAAATGACTATCTTTCACCTTTATTCTCTTTTCACGACCCAAGAACATTGCCTTTTGTTTTAAAATCTTTGCATAATCCATTATATGAGATATTGGCTCTAGACTAGATTGCCGGCCACCTTAAAGCTTTAAACAAGTGGGAAAGAGGATGAAATGTTAGATATCTTGGTCCCTAGGGATAGTTGACCCGATTTGAGGGTTGATTTCTCAGGCTTTATAATTGCTGATAAAATCATATAATTCTTCCTTGTTTGGATTGAACTATACATAAGTATTGGAAGGGAAGGAAAATACTAATATGAAAGTCCCTGTAAAATTCTTGTTTCACACTTTCCGTTGCATTGGTGAAATTTGGAAGGAAAGAATGATTAAAATTCCTTTTTCTTTTTATTCTTATTTTAAATAAAGGCTTCTGTGCAGAACAACTTATTTTTCCTCTACGTAGAGATTGATCTTTAATATATTCTAGCTGAAAAGTAAATAACTACAGTAGAGAAAAATTTGAAAAATCAGGGTGAAGTTTTATTGGACGACACATGAGGTAATTTATTCAAGTGACCATTTAGGTAAGGGGTGGCTTCTATTTGTGTTGATTTTGAATAGGATCTGAGGTGATCTAGCCATTTTTTTTAGAAATATATTAATCTACCCAATGTATACAATAAAGGAAAAGAAATTACTTCATGCTTGAAATACATTGTCTATGCCTTCTAAATCATATCTGACCAATTCATGTTGTATTATAACATTTTTAAGGCTTATAGACTGTGAAGTGATACATATTTTTGTATTGCTTGTCAAGCAGTTGGATTCATTTAATCACTGGGAACCAGCAACTTTTATTTTACGGCGCTCAGGTTTTCAAGTAAAGATCAATAAAACAGGAGCTCTTCAAATTGCTGATGAATTCTCAGAGAACTTATCGGTATGTTGGATACATGCACTTTTCATAGACCTCCTCCAAAGAAAAGGGAACTCCTGTTGTTTATAAGGCTAGATAGACAGATGAGCTTGCGGTTCACGTCAAATAAAAAGCTGTGTATCTGCAATCCAGTCATTGTATATGACTTATTACCAATTTTTGCATTTAGGTGTTCCAACTTGTGAAATATAGCTGCAACATTTTAATTTTTATTGTTCTCTCTTGAGACCAGCACAAATTTAGGACAGAACATATCTGTAGTCTGGAGGCTCTAGCACTCTGCAGGTTTTTCATTCTTTATTTATTGAGATAGGGATTTAGATTACGCTTATACAATAAATGATTTACAAAAGAAAATATCTCAGCTGTACCTTCCTTTGAGTCTAAGTCTCTAACAACACTCTTTCTTCCTTAAGCTACCCACTCAAGAACAGCCTCCCCAACTTCTTGCTCTTGAGAATGTTTATGCTGTACCTTAAGTCATTTCTTGTGAGGTATGAATACAAATCATTATCAAAAGTCTTTCATGCCATGCTAAAAGTGATTATAACTGGCCGGAATATTGATGTGCATTATTGGGTTCCATGACTTCTTTTACCTTTTCCTTTTCGTGCTCAGTTATGTATTTCTTTAGTAAATCCGTAGCCCTTTCAAGCATTGAGGTAAATGTCACCATGTTTGTTTCCTAAATCCCACTATCCCAGGCATTACTTTTCTGAACTATGCCTCTCAAACTCTCAAGTTTAACCTTCGGCTCCACCTTGATAAAGATCTCTTTGGCCTATTTAGCTGTGTTATGAATTTGTTAGTTTGCCTTCTTCAGTCTTCACATAAAAGCAGCATTTGTCCGAAGTTTCATGTTGCTTACATCTTGAACAAGCAGTATCCATTACATCATGAGCGACTCTCTAAAAGAAATTACAGTACCATAGGAAGACTTATTGGTTCATATTTTCTTCCAGAAATCTTCATGCTCCTTCTAGGACCTTCCCAAAGTCACATCTTTTGCAGCATTAGCCTCCTGGGTTACATCATGAGCTAATTGGAGCCGAAAATCCATACCTTGACTTGTGATGTTACTGTATGCTTTTTTTTTTTTAATAATTTTTTTTAAAACTTACCAGTATCAATTCTGACTTGTCCTTGTTTATAAGTAATGGTTTTTTTGGGCTTGTCTTTGTTCTTGTTTGTAATTCTATGTATAACTTCACTGTTGTTGCTCCTGCAGATCAAGATTCCTGGTGGATTGTCAACACAGTTTGTTCTAACATGTTCGGATGTAACTTCACACCCTTTAAGCACGTACAATGATATTAGGTAATATAACATTCTTGCAGTTTGATTTTCTTAATTGATGTCATAATATCTGAGTATCTATTTGCAATTTGCATGCCGTTAATTTGGTTTTAATGTTTGTTCCTCATAATAAGATTTTGTCTTTAAAGACAGTGGACCAAAATTGCAAAATGAGACAACATGTCAACTGGGTGTGAATCTTATCATACTAGCTATCTCTGATATTCTTAATTGGACGCGTGCTATTTCTACCTATTACTCAAAGTAATGGCAAGTTAGGAATTCCAATTATAAATCATTACTAATAGCTCTAAATATCCTATAATAGTATGCTAGTTATGAGGCTCTTGATTCCAGGGAGAGGAAGTAACTGCTTATTTAAAAATCATGAACTTGTGATTGTAGAGTTCACAAATGAGGTGCACAATGTCCTCTGCTTCTTTCTTTCCTTCCTAAAAATTTTATGTAGTCTGAAACATCACGTGAAGCAGTATGTGTTTGTTTGTCTGCAATTTATAGTTACTGTGAAACAGAAGTTACTTGTGATGTTTTTATTTCTGATGTCATATATAAATTTTTGATTTGCTACAGAATGCGTGACACTCTTGTGTTGACTATAAGAATGTTCCAGAGCAAGGTAATCTTTTTTCTTTCATTTATGAGAATGATGTAGAATTGATGTGTCAATTTGCTGCATTGTCATTTCGGTGTTTTGTTTATGTTTGCTGCTTTGTTATCTTCACATAGTTAGTATGAAAGAAAAGGGAAGAGATTTTTTTTTATTTGAAAGAAAAGGGAAGAGATTTTTTTTTTATGTTTTCGTTATAATATTTTGAGATTTTTACAAAAACATATTTCTTAGTACATGATAATGCATTTTTAATATTTTATATTAGTCAAAATAAACTCAACTATCATGAAACAAGATTTCTCAAACCAACATTTCACTCCCAAGTCCAAAATTCCTGTCGAATGTCCCACCAACCAAATTCCATTTTTACAAATTAACCTTTATAGGCTCCATTTTTTTCACCCAATTTTGTACAAGTATTCCACGTGCATTTCTCTTTCTGTATCCTGTGCACTGAAGATATGTCGGATTTCAGCAGCAAAAACATTACATGTCGGTGTACGAATCATATCTTCTTCGTAAAGAATGTATACAAATTTTCAGTAACACCAAATGCTGAAATTAGTGGGATTTTAACCCTACATATAACAAGTGGGATTTTCAATGGAGGTTTTTCTGCTTGTCATTGTTCTTCTTGTTATTGTCAATGAATTCTTCTATTTACAAGATGGGAAGTCGGTTTCTGTTCGATTACAAGGCTTCATCACTACGTTAAAAGACACCAGTTAGCATCCACGGATGACAATAGTTGTATAACAATCTTTGACAAATATAAATTAAAGCAACATTTTTTTGGTAACTAACCGCTAATGCCTAGGGCTAGCAACATGTTAGGGTCCAATCCAAGTTGATTTTGTGTTTGTTTCGAAAACTTTATGAAAGGTATAAATATGTACTCTTTATGCATTGCTTTCAAGAAAATGAAGCAATGAATTACCTAGACACTTTTCTTTTTTGAAAGTGAATTTCTTACATCTAGCTAGATTATGGATGTTAAAAAAATAAAAAATAAAATCTAGGGTCTAACTCAGCAAGAACAATATTTGTATTAGTTGTATATCTATCATCGCAGAAGTGACAAATATAACCTCCTTCATCCGACTTTACACTAGAGCCTCAAGAACCGAGCATCTAACTAGCTCCACTTGGTTTGGAGGGATATAGCTCAGTTGGTAGAGTGCCGCTCTCACAGCTAGGTCGCGGCTGGTTGGGAGACACTATTGTGCAAGTTTCGTACTATCATATTAAGATCAACTTATGGATTCTCAGTACAAACAAAAGTAAATGATAAAGTAAGAGCACCTAATTCTTTCTTTAATAAAGAAAAGAGAGAAAGAAGCTTACAAATGGTTCTAGACTTCAAGTCCACCCCAAAACAAAAGGAAGTAAACACCATTAAACTATGGACAAATGTATGTTAGTCTCATCAATTCATCATCCATGAAAAATTATTTTGCAACAACCGCCCAACTATCCATGTGACTCATTTTGACTTTTAAGCAGTAATTTAAGCATTCCAATCATTAAATCTCACCCCCGATTACATTATTTTCTAATTAATATCAATAATAATCCAACCAACTCCCATAATTTAGATGCTTCCATTTCGCAATCACAATGCTAACTATAAAGACTAGAATATCACCATTCGTTTATAATGGATAGTCACATTGATAGTGTAATTCAAACTAGCAAGTAGCGACATGTCAATTGGATCATACCCGAATGTAATCGGCAATCACAAATTCAAAATGCAAATCATATACATAAAGGAGATGTCACATTGATAGTGTAATCAAATATAGCAACACCTCAATTAAATCTAAATGAAACCAAGATGAAGATTCACAAATCCTTCAAATTCGTCTTTCATTTGTAGCAAAATTTACAACAAACAAACTCTATATTTAACTCAACTCATAAGTTTATGATATGAGTTAATAATTCTAATCACCAATAAGGCAATAATAATAATAATAATCATATCAATATACAAAATTAAAAAAAAAAAAAAAAAAATCTACTCAATTGTTTTCATCTTGAATTATCATTATTATTACCTGTATTGTTACTAATAGTATTATTATCATCATTAATTTCTAATTTTGTTTCTCTCCCCTGAAAATTCCCACACCCACCACTTCCTACCTCATCATCTTGCGTAGCCTCCAAAACTTGAACCCGGCCTTCCAACTCCCGGATCATCAAAACGGCGTCGTTACTCCTCCTCTCAACCCGCAACGCCGCAACACCAACCGCGTTCGAGTTCGAGTTCGTGTTGGAGTTGGGAGCAGGACCCGAACCCGAGAAGGATCGAAGGGGCGGAGCTAAATTCATAGTAGACCGACAGAGCGGGCAATTAGAGTGAGTCTTAAGCCAAGTATCAATACAAGGCAGATGGAAAGCATGCTCACAGTTAGGCATCAACCGTAGATTCTCATTCTCATTGAACTCAGTGAGACACACGGCGCATTCCGTGCCGTCGACTAACTTATCCTCTCTCCGATACTTAAACACCGTGATCTGGCGAATAAAGGCGTCGTCGAGACCTGAGGCGGACGAGTTCGGCCGAGTTGGGTCGTGAATCAGCGAGTCAACTCTTGAGAGTGGGTCAGAGGTTTCGGAGTCGATAAATCGGTTGATTCTGCGACGGTTGCGAGAGCGACGGCAGAGCTTGGAGATGACGGTGAAGTAGAAGAGGAGGAGGAAGGCGGCGGCGAGGACGGCGATTAGAGCGGCCATTAATGGGGAGATGCGAGAGGAGGAGGAGTCATCGGAGGAGTCGTCGGAGGAGATGATGTTGGGGTTGAGGAGAAGGGGAGGAGGTGGGGGGAAGATGCATAATTGGGGGCAGTTGAGGGAGCAACCTTGGGAGCAGAAATTGTAGGTTTTGGAGGTTGAGGGCCATGGTTGTGGAGCTCCAATTGAGATGGGGGAAGCCATTGATGAGGTAATGATGATGGTGATTTGAGGGGAGTTTAGTTCATTGGAAATGGTGGTGGGTGTAATTTGGAGGGAAGTTGGGTGGGGGAGAGAGGAGAGAGAGAGAAAAGGGGAAAGTAGAAATGGGGAAAAGGGGAGGTGATGAAATTTTTATATATTCTTTTGATTAATTATGATGTTGATTAGTGGGGAATGGGAATGGAGTGGTATGTGTAGGAGTATGTTTATGTGTAATTGTGTATCATTTTATGTGTATGGTGTTTAATAAGATATTTGAATGTAATTTAACGATGCATCCTCTTATATGGGAGGGAGAACACTGATCAGAGTCATCAAACCTTAACTCTCATACTTATTTTGATCTAATACTTGTGTGGGTAAATATTTTGAAAGTAAAGGAGAACGATAAAGGATTCCCATCATTAAAATGTTATTAATGGAGATTGAATCTCTAATTTCAAGGTTAAAAGGTGCACGTGGACACTGCATATTCTTTTGTGTTCGTTTTAGAGAAAAGCACTGGAAGCATAGCTCTCTCATCCCTTCTATGGTCATGAGGCAGCCCCTGTCGTTGCCTTAGCTGTGCTATCGGCAACCCTGGGGAAGTAGGAATATGATAGCACTCATCTTGGGGTGGCAGCTACATGCCCTCAGCCCTGGGGAAGTAGGAATAGGAGAGCACCCGTCTTGGGGTGGGCCGGGTGGCAGCTGCCCTTCGCATGTGATAAAGAACCTTGCTTACACGCTCATTCGTTGATGATGATTGGCAATTTGGCACAATACAAATAATGGAAATAAAAAAAAAAGTTTGTGTATACGTGTACGTATATGTGCTAATGGTCTATGTTGGTATAGCGTTTAAAGCGATAATCGAATGTAATTTTACATCCTCTCATATTCTAGTTTTTTAGTTTTCTTTCTTATAGAACTAGCATCTTTCATAAGTTAATCAAACTATCTATACAAGTTTAACAGAGTAGGAAGTAAATTAAGAGTATTTTCATTCTCAAGTAAGTATATGGTAAAACTCAAAACTTTTGATCTCAGAGTCATAAGGTAAGGTCCTTCATACCTTCATCAATCTTGTGTGGTTACCACGGAGCACATTTTAGGGATGATTTGAAATAAAATTAAATCACATTAATTTAATTTTACAGCTTCTCTTTTTCAAAAAAAAAAAAATAAAAAAAAAAATAAAAAATTACCCTTCTTATACATATTCTACCGTCATTTACTCACATATAGATTATTTATGGTGAGAAATTTTAGAGGATTTAAAATTGTTTCAATGATAATACAACAGATAACCCCGATATATGTATAAAGTATGTTTGGTAAGATAATTTAGAAGATTTAGATTATTTATTAGTGTACCGTAGACATCCGAGTATGTACGTGGATATGAATATGATGTTGTGTATGGCTTGAAGGGTAGTCATTATCATAATTTGGTAGAGTTATTTTGAGTCTACTCTCTTTCTTTATCTTTTCTTGTATACTTTGCTTTTTTTAGTTTTGACGAACGGTTTGTACAAGTTTTATGGACAATTATTTAGTTGGCCTATAAGACCACTCTCAATGGTGAGCAAAAAAAATGCTCACCCACTCTCTCTCTACCCACTTTCTCTCTCAACAAATCAATTTTGCTCATGGGCAAATTTTTTTCATATTTCCTCTCCCAATGGTGAGCAAAAAAAATGCTCACCCACCACTATCTCTCTCTTACTTTTTCAATACCCCACCATAACTTTCTCTCTCCTACACAACACTTCTTTATTTATTTATTTCATTTATATTTTAACATTACTCCAAATAAATAAAAACTAGTTTAATTATGTGTAACTTATTTTTTTTTATTTTTTTCTTTTTTATCGTTAAAATTTATCGTAAAATTATTTATGTTATTATAAATAATTGTAAAAAAAAGCTCATAATTTTTTATTTATTTTAAAAGCGGTACAATATTAGAGAACAATTAATTTGCAACGTCATGCGCAATTAAACTTAGGAAATAAAAAAAACACAACTACATCGTCTAATTTCTCCCTAATTACGGGGCCCGTATCGTTGCCAAATATGTTCGACTAAATCACGTTTCAGAGATAGATGAATTTCTCTGTCACGGAGGGAAGCTTTTCGCTGTAGAAATGCGTTGAAGTCAAAGTTGGTAGGTCGGCCTACGTTGAATTCAAACGGTGGCGTTGTAGATGTTGATGCTGGTGTTGATTCTTGTTGATCTTCTTCGTAGAAGGCTCTTAGAACTTCGGCTCGAGTGTAGTTGTGGCGCTCATCTTCAACAATCATGTTGTGCATAATGATACATGCTTTCATTATGTCTCGCAGTATGTCCTCATCGTACGCCAGTGACGGTTTTCGTATTATTGCAAATCGAGCTTGCAAAACACCGAATGCTCTTTCAACGTCTTTTCGAGCAGCAGCCTGGTGGTCAGCGAACAATTTATCTTTTTGAAGTTGAGGGGTTGTGATACCCTGAACAAAAGTTGCCCACTTCGGATAAATACCGTCGGCTAAGTAATATGCCATGTTGTATTCATGGCCGTTAACGGTAAAATTTACCGGAGGAGCTCGACCATGCAGAACCTCATCGAACACTGGGGAACGGTATAAGACATTTAGGTCATTACAAGATCCAGGAATCCCAAAGAAGGAATGCCATATCCATAAATCCTGATCTGCAACGGCTTCCAGTATTAGCGTTGCTTTCTTGTTCCTACCGGCGTACTGCGCTTTCCATGCCGTTGGACAGTTCTTCCATTCCCAATGCATGCAATCAATGCTGCCTATCATGCCTGGAAATCCACGCAGTTCATTTTGATGCATAATTCTGGCCAATTCAGCAGTTGTAGGGTTTCGCATGTACTCGGTTCCGAACTGATTAATGACCCCGGTACAAAAACGTTGAAGAGCAACTCGAGCAGTTGACTCACTGGTCCGAACGTATTCATCCACGGCGTCCGCAGCCATGCCGTAGCCTAACATTCTTATCGCTGCTGTACATTTTTGCAGAGGTGATAAACCTAACCTTCCAGCTGCATCCCTACGCTGCTGGAAGTACACATCACCTTCAACGACCTTGTTCATTATACGTACAAACAAAGGTCGTTGCATACGAAATCTTCTTCTAAATTGGGTGGTGTTGTACACGGGATTATCGGAAAAGTAATCATTAAACAACCTGGCATGTCCAATTTCCCTATCTCTTCTATTCGTACCCCCTCTAGGTTTTTTTGAAGAGTGTTGGGATTGTGTTTGGGGCATGAGGACAGATGGGGGTTGGTATGTGAAGAGTTCATCAACAAGTTGGTCATATTCTTCAGTATTTGAAGAAGATGAGCTTGAACTTGAGCTTGATGATGGTCTAGAATACATCTCGTATTACTATTGTTATTTGATGAAGGGGTGTGGTTGTGGATATGTGCCATGTCTACTATATATAGCAAAAATATCAAATGAATATGTGGTTACAAATCTGATTGACCACACCAAGTACAGGAATTAAATTTTCAACCACGGAATAGGTATACTATGCTAGTTGACAGTGACAAGTCTTGAGTGCAATAATGTCGGTATCAATGACACAAAGGTAAAGCATTCTGATAAAGTGAAATCAGAAAAATGTGACTACACAATGACAAAGATTTATTGTAATTATGTCGGTATCAATGACACAAAGGTAAAGCATTCTGATAAAGTGAAATCAGAAAAATGTGACTACACAATGACGAAGATTTATTGTAATTATGTCGGTATGGAAACTTAAATCAACTTGTTAAACAACTTGTCATTCAATATTGGAAAATCAGAATACAAGTGTACATCTTACATTGAGATTAACCACACAACTCGCTAATCTGCAAGTACAACCCAATCAGAGCTTCATCTTCCGCCACAGACCAAATACGGGTAACTCGTGTAGGAACCTGGTTGGGTTCCAACAAGCGCACTGGTGGAGGAGGATACTGCGGCGTCTCTGGTACGCTTTCCTCTTCGCTCTCATCGAATAGTGTGTTACTACCAAGATCAGTTTCAGGTGTACGATCTTCATTAGCAGGGTTTTGTTGGGGAACCTCAGTGGGTGTCTGATGCAGTGGAGGTGGTTGCGTCGACATATTGCCCATTCTTTGCAAGAACAACTGAAACTCGGGATTAGTTAGGAAATCATCACTAAAACCCGAAAGTTGTTGACGGAAATTTGGGTTGTTTGGATCCATTAAAATATTCTGCACCAAAAAACAAAAGATCAATATCGTTACAAACATTTACTCAAAAAACAAATTAAAATGATAACAAATCCAAAAAAATATCAACAACTTTCTTCAATTGCATAATGCAATAACATTACATGCCATACAAAATAACATATATACTAATTTTAACACATAACTACAGGTACATGTTAAAGAAAATAATTAACCAATACTTGCAACACTTTAAGAACATGTACATAATGCAATATAATTTCGTGGCCTATAATTTTTTTTTTCAATAAAATCACATATATACTAATTTTATTAAGTTAATACATTTATATATAGCAACAAAAATTTACCATTAATTAATTGCAACAACAAATTCAGAAATTTATGGACAAAATATAAACAACTTTCTTAATAATTACATATTGCAAATATAATTACATGGCCTAAAATATTTTATTTTTTTTAAAAAAAATCACATATAATATACTACTTATATTTAACTGATTTTAAAAATTAAATATTTTTTTTTTTACCTCAATATGGATGAATTGCAATAGCAATATTCTTCTACAAAATTAA